TGATGTTTTTCTGAGCCGATGTTTTATGTTAGTTGTTAGATAGGAGGTGGGACCACAGTAGTTATGTGAGTCCAAATTTTATTATGTTTTTTGAGTGTTATATATGTTGTTTTATGTTTTGCCGCCCTATAAGGGCCATAGTTGTCTTTGTACTGTTCTATTATTTTAGTATAAATAATAAGTGAAGGGGGCGGCCAGATTATTGGTCTCTTTTCTTTCAACTTCTCTTCTTCTCCTTCTCTTTTCAAGAAACTACTTTCTTTCATATTTTTTAATTCAGCAGATTTCTACTAGGAGAAAATAAAACAAGAGATACAAGAGAAAGGTTGAAGTGACAGAGCAACAACGACAGCTTCAGCCACAACCAAAACAAAAAACCAACAAGCAAACAAAGTAAAAACTAGAAAATTCTTACAAATTATAGCTTGGCCGTGGGCATCCCCAAATAAAAAAATTATCTGCCTATCCAAAGTCTTGCCAACTGATAAGCTAACATATTGGCACTCCTTGGAACCGAATAGAATGAGACATTCAATGAGGCACCTAAAGAGTGAACCAATCTCACCAAATATCTGAACTGCTGGAGCAGTCTTGGGAATTCAGCCACTGAATAACTGTTTGACAATCTCCTACTCTAAAACCCTCATACCTTGTTGCAAGCTTAATTTTAGTCCCTGTAACAAGGGCAGTAGTTTAGCTCTTAAGGAATTTCCAAACCCCACTGGGCCTGAGTAACTGAGAACAATAACACATTCACTATCCCTCACCACACCCCCCACACCAGAGGATCCAGGATTCCCTAAACGACACCCATCAAAATTCAGCTTACATCTCCCTACCCCTGGAGGTTTCCACTCCATCACTCTTTCAGGTAGCCTGGGTTGAAAGCTTGCTATGACATTCCACTCTCTCAGCATATCATTTATACTAACACCACTAACTTCTTTACAAAGTAAAGCCTAGTGTACAACCCATATCTTTGTGAGTTCAGTCATTTCTTCCCCTTGTTTATAATTTTCATTAAATACTCTAGCATGCATCTCATTTCAAAGACCCCAGAGCACTGCTCCCCTCGCACACTGCCACACCGTGTGACACATCTAATTATTTCCCCTTTAAATAGGTCCTCAATATTCATGGGTGCCATCCACTCTTGCCCCACCCACCAAAGAGAAAAAGTACTGCCATACCTGAGAAGCAAAGGAACAGTGCACAAGAAGATGGTTGGCGTGTTCCTTGTCCTCCCGACAAACAAAACACACATGAAGAGAAAGAGAGCAGCTCTTCCACTTTTTTTGGAGTCTCACATAGTTGTCAAGGCGACGCCTAGGCGACAAGGCGCCCTTGGAGGCTTGCCTCGCCCAGTCGCCAAGCAGTTTTGCATACTGTGTAATAAAATACTTTTATATTGTTATTTTTTTGAGATTATAATTATTTGTTAGGGTTCATTCATCAAAAAAAATTATTTGTTAGGGTTTAATCAACACAAACATTGCTAACTGCTGTATTGAACCCTCAATGACTTAAAAATCTGAACCAATATGTAAGGGAAGAACTTAAAATTTTGTCTAATCAACACATTTCTTCTTCCACATCTTCTTCTACCACATTTCTTTTTTTTTTTGATAATTGAAATAATTTTATTAATCAGCAATAGACAATAGTACAAAGTCCCCAAGGAAAGGCATGAGTTGCAACCTCTTCGGGCTAGTTAAGTACAGATTTCCAAATTAATAACAACTTACATAGAAGCACAAAAAAGATCTTCCCTAGAAACCCCCTGTTTGGCTAAAGCATCAGCAAACAGTGCGGACCGCGAGAGCGGTACCAAAGGCCTTTCTCTTCTCCTCCTGGGATTCAATTAAGGGAGTTCAGCCRAGGGATAAGCTGTTCTTGCTTGAGTTGAATCAGTGGAGTTTGGGAAGGTGGTAACGTATAWAATATAATAGAAATGGCTGCTTTTAGCTTTGAAGCCAAGGCAGTAGCCTGTCCTTCTGATCTTAGTTTGAATTGGCTATGGGTTGGGTCACAAACGGCAGAACAATAACTAAGGAGCTCCCCGAAGCGCGCTTTCTAGTTAGAGAGAGGGGAAAGCTTAATTAAGAAAATAGAGTGGGCGAGCCAAAAAGCAAGACAAGGGAGGAGCAGCCTTCTTTAAAGAAAAAGACATCCATGCCAACCACGGTTGAAGGAAGAAGGGCAGCTTTCAAGATTTCACCAGGTCCAGTTCTTGTTGTCGGACTAGAAGCAGCTAATGAATCCGCATCAAATATGGTTCAAGGAATTCAAACCGGGAGCTAGGTGAATCAAATCTTTCTTATGGATGTGCAGTGTGGAGTGGCATACAAAAGGCAGCAAGGGATTTCAAACAGGTTATAAAGCTGGAAGAAGGTGATGGGTCAAGAGTTAGTTTCTGGCAAGAGGTATGGTGTGGGGGTAGCCCTCTCAAGGACAGATTTCCAACTTGATATGAAATTTCTCTCAACAAGGAATGTTTGGTATTGGAGGCGTTCTCTCAGGAAAGAGGCATGTGAGTTTGGAATCCAACTTTTAGAAGGAACCTGTGATGGGGAAGTGGAACAATGGGAAGAATTGGTGCAGATCCTTAATACAGTAAGGGAGGACGGTGCAAGGAGTAATAAGAGAATTTGGTTAGGGGGGAAGTCAGGAAATTTCACATTTAAATCTTTTTATAGCAGATTGTATAATGTTGAGGAGGATTCTTTCCCTGAAGATAGGGTCTGGAGATCAGTTGCTCCCCTCAAAGTCTCTTTCTTTGTGTGGGTGACAGTTTTGGGGAAGTTCTTAACAGTTGACAATTTATCAATGAGAGGTTTGATGGTATAACCCAGTAGATGTGCTCCATGTGGCAACAATTCTGAGGAAGTGGAGCATCTTTTCTGCACTGTAGGTTCACTTGGGAGATATGGATGAAACCTCTGAGGGTGTTTGCAACTCAGCTGTGTTTTCCAAGGGACTTGATGGCTTTCCTAAAGAGCTGGAATGTGGGTGATTTGTCAAGGGAAGGAAGGATTGTTTGGAAGGTTGTGCCAGAAGCATTGCCGTGGTCCATTTGGAAGGAAAGAAACAGGAGGCTTTTTGAAAACAAGTTTAGTTCAAAAGAGATAGTTTTAATAGGCAGTTGGGGTAGGATATACTCATGGGTGGCGACACACAAGTTATTCAAGAATATTCCTTTTAATTATTTTTCTGATCATAGCAATCTTTTTGTACGATTTGATGAATAGTAGTTTTTTGTTTTTTGGGATGTACTAAGTTAATACTTGCCTTGTCTAGTGCCTTACTGGGCAAGGTCTGTATGCATGTTTGGATTATTTAATGAAATACTTTGCCACTGTCAAAAAAATGTTGATTTTCTATGTTTTGATCTATGATACTTGGATGACTATATATGCTATTGCATGGATACTTCTAAATGTACTTAATGGCATTATCACTTTTGAAATATGTAAAGTGGTATATTTTAGCAAATTATACTGTAAAAATATCTGCACATGTTAGAATTTAGATATTTATTTAAACTTGGAAAGCCATGTGTTGTGGAATGACATTTAGCCCATAGCTGTCAAGGCGACGCCTAGGCGACAAGGCGCCCTTTGAGGCTTGACTCGCCTAATCGCCAAGCAGTTTTATACTATGTATTATAAAATACTTTTTTCTATTCTTTATTTTTTGACATTATAATTATAAAATAGGCACTATTAAACTAAAATATTCATTTTGTGTGTTTATAAAATACTACTACTACCACCACTACTACTACTACTACTACTACTACTACTACTACTACTATACTACTACTATGATTTTCAAGGCGCTCCCTGTCGCCTAGCCTCACCTTGGTGCCTTGAAAACTATGATTTAGCCGAAATCTAGATATACATGCATGATATAAGCATATTACATGAGATACCCATACCCATGGGCATCATAGGTTTTGGTAGGAAGTTTATACTTATTTGATGAAGATTATTGCTAATTAGTAAAAGGTGATTGTTGGCGGCTATGAAAACCTAGGGAATTATTTTATAAAGCCCCTATGCAACTAGGTGCTCCCCTGTTGCCTAGCCTCACCTAGGCACCTTGACAACCATATTGGTATTAATCATTGATGTATAAAAAACTTAGAATACCATGAATTTCTTTTTCAAATGGAACACAAAACAACTTTGTCAATTTTGGGTGGTAATATATGGGCACAGAAAACACTGCACCCTTGATGCTCAACCAAATCAATTACAACCCAAACCAAATTCCTTAGATGGGGAAATATGTTTGAGATTGAACAGTTACAACCTCAACCTTCAATATCTCCTTGATTACCGGAACAACCCATTCATATTTTTTTTTTGTTTTCTTAAAATATTACAGAAAATCATAAGCATGCTGTAAAAAATGTTGAAAAATGTGCCTTCTACCTTGGATCGGTGAGAAGAAAAGAGAGAGCAAGAGCCAAGAAAGAAAGAAGCTAAGAGATGGGTTGTTCACTCTACTTTGTTCAAATAAGAATTAATGGTGTAATGTAATTACCTAAATACCCTTTGATAATCTGTATAACTATCCTAAATCAATCACTATTCCCGGCTCTTCACATAACACAAGTTGAGAAGTGAATTCTTTATGATGAGATAAACCAAAAAGAGCAGTCCAAGACAAATGTTAATCAAGATCTTGCCTTTGGAAACAAGCTGCAAGAAAGTTCTAAAGTTGACAAGTTAAAAGCCTTTCCCCTACTTTACATATTGTTTTGAATATAACTTCTATCTTAACCTTGTGTTTTTTTCTCATCAAGCAAGGTTGTTTATGTGTCTTGTTAGTAATGTTTCACATTAATTTAAACAGGGCAGATGAACAAGTTTGTTATTCCCAGCTGCTATCTAATAAGGATGGTAATGAGAACATTGAGATAGAGAAAAAAAAGAAAAAGAAGAAGAAAGTCATTGATCTGAAAGAGAGCATTCTTGATGGGGGAAACCGAAATGGACAGTTGGAGAAAAGTATTAAAGTGGTAAGCCATGAAACTGCCATTGAAGATGAACTGCAAGATAGGTAAGTGCTTTTTCTCCACTTATATTTTGTGTTTTGAAACTTTCTTTACACTCCTCACTTGGTTTCATCTAGTATGAATATGTTGAGTGGAACAGGAAAGCTACTGATTCATTAGTCCCTGGCAATCTTGAGAAGGAAAAGAAGAAAAAAACTGACACAAAGCAGAACCCATCCACTGAGAAATATCAATTGACCGCTAGCAGTACTAAGAAGGAAAAGAAGAAGAAAAAGGCTGATACAGAGAAATATCCATCTGTCGTGGATAATGACCAAAGCACAATTCAATTAAAGTAGCCCTCTCTTCCAAGTTATGGAACTTGGTGAACCTATCAGTAATGCTCAAGAATCAAATCTCAGTCCACCAAATAAGAAGTGATTCTCTTTCTCTCTCTCTCTCTCTCTATCAATCTATTATCTATCTATATATATGTCTATCTTTCTATTTGTTTATTTGTCTATCTACCTATCTATCTACACAAACACACATGACGCTTTTTTATTTTTTGATAGGCTACACACAATACATTAGATGTGTGTATTCAAATATGTATGTACATATTTATGTATGAACTAAATAATAGAAACAGAGTAGCAATAATAGTAGATAAAGATCCGAATTGGTAATAGAATAAGTTTAATTAGTAATAAAATTGGTAATAATGAACTTGTAAATGTTATAAGAATTGGTAATAGAGTAAATTTAATTAGACGAGGTGAGCCTCCAAGGGTGCCTTGTCACCTAAGCATCGCCTTGACAACTATGACACACGGTTGTTTATTGTTACGATTTGCATGGTCCTCCCTCCACATGGACCAATCATGTATCTCTTGGAGAGGAATCCACTGGTGATGATACATTTGCTTCTGGATCAGGGAAGGATAAGGAGTTGGTTGCTATAACACGCAAGGAGTACAAGAAACTTCATCTATTTTCTTCTTCTAGTGGTACTGCAACCCTTGCCAAATCATGTATCAAATGCCTAGCTTCTCAGTCCAGACCATATGCATGGATTATTGACTCTAGAGCCTCAGACCATATGATTAGGTCTCTAGATGTGTTTTCCTCCCTTTCCCTTTTTCCACATCATAGTTTATTACTTTGGCCTATGGTACTACTTCCTTGGTTTCTAGTACTACTGTACTAGTACTGTAACTCTTGATCCTAATTTGTCATTATCCTCTATTCTTTAGGCTCAGTTTGGAAGGAGTACAAATACAAATATGCACAGTGCAAAACCTTACATTTTGTATTATTTTGTATGTATTTGCACTGTACATATTTGTATTTGTACTTCTTCCAAACTGAGCCTTATGTTCCTAAATTCCCCTTCAGTCTCATGTCTCTTAGTAAATTAACCAAGACATTGAACTGTTTTGTTTTTTTTTTTGTCCTCATTGTGTGTTTCAGGACCTTAAAATGGGAAGATGATCGGTGGCGGGCATGAAGCTGGATGATTGTACTATCTAGATGGTGGTGGCACACAGAAGGCATTGCATTCTTCCCAATCTCCTTGCAGTGGCATTGTCAGCTAGGTCATCCTTCACTTCCAATGCTCAAGAAGTTAGTCTTGTCACTACAGCCTATTTCTCAGTTATAGTGTGAGTCGTGTCAGTTTAGTAAGCATCATTGTGTGTCTTTTGTTCCTAGGGATGATGCAAGAGTATCTAGTCCATTTCAATTGGTGCATTTTGATGTTTGGAGTCCTAGTAGAGTGAAGTCATATAATGGGTTCAAGTATTTTGTAACGTTTATTAATGATTATTCAAAAATGATGTGGATTTATTTAATGAAAGCTTATTCAAAATTACCTCAGATTTTTTGTTCTTTCCATGCTAAAATTCAAAATAAATTTGGTACATCTATTAAAGTGTTTTGTTCAGGCAATAATGAATACTTTGAAGGTCATCTACAATCATACATTGAGTCTCATGGAATTATTCATTAGTCTTCTTGTTTCCACACCCCAAAATAAAATGGTGTGGCTGAACGGAAGAACAGACATTTATCGGAAATGGCTTGTACTTGTTTCAGATGTAGGTTCCTAAAATCTACTGGAGCCATGCAGCTCTCACAGCTTGTTTTTTATTTAATCGTATGCCCTCATCACTTCTTGGTGGAGTTTCTCCCTTTTCTTTGTTGTTTCCTTCTACTCCACCCTTTCCATCTTCTCCATGTGTGTTTGATTGTTTGTTTTGTTCACTAGTTTCGCCTGTAATGGATAAGATTGATCCAAAGCCTTAAAGTGTATTTTTCTGGGATACTCTCGTACCCAAAAAGGTTACAAATGCTATTATGCTCATTTCGTAAGTCATTTGTACTCCCTGATGTGACCTTTGAGATGATGCCTTTCTTTTCTCCAATAAACATAGGAGGTCCATCACAAGTTATTAAACTTTACTTGGAGGTAATTTAATTTCTTGGAAAAGTAAGAAGCAAAATGTGGTTGCTAGAACTAGTGCAGAAGTAAAGTATAAAGCTATGGTTCATAATAATTGTGAGTTAGTGTGGGTGAAACACTTGTTGCAAGAAATTGGGATAAATGTACCCTTTCCTATGGAGTTGTTTTGTGATAATTGAGCTGCCATTCACATATCTACTAGCCTAGTATTCCATGAGAGGACCAAACACATAGGACTGCCATTTTGTGAGATAAAAGGTAGCAAGTGGAGAGGTTGTTACACCCTATGTAAAGTAAGAAAATCAATTCTATTTGTAACAAGTTGGAGCTCTATGATATTTATGCTCCAATTTGAGGGGGGAGTGTTGAAGTATTTTCTTTATTTGCCTTATTTTCTGTTTATGGTTAGCAGGGGTACAAAAACCATGTTTAGATTTGATCCAAGGGTTAATCCAAACACCCAAATTTGATTGACCATGGATCTGAAAACTTATAGATTGAGCTAAACCTCGCTGTTGCTGCTAGATGGGCTGAGGGTAACAAGGTAAATCCGCTTTTGAGTCGAGGGCTGACTGATGAGTCTGAGGTTCGCTGTGGCCGAGGGCTGGTAAGTCGGACCTGTGGAGAGAGAGAGGACGTCAGAGGCTCCGGGTGCTGGCCCGAGGCGGAGACTCCAATGGTCAAGCTAGTACAGGTGTGACAAGAGGTGGATGAGGCCCATGGTTCAAAATATCAATACGCCCCTATTCGCAACCAGCTCAGGGGGGCTGGTTTAGGTCTCCTCTACCTCCTGAACCGGCTAGACCTCCGATACACCCACTGTAGGGGCGTATCGGAGGGATCCCGGAACAATACGTATCAGATGATACATGTCGATACTTTAAACCTTGACGAGGTCTGGGGTTGGGATGCTTAGACAAGGTCACGATGAAGATAAGTGACTGCTTGAGAATGGAGAGTCTAAGGATGTAGTCTATCCTTGAGGATGTGGCCATACGAGGTTGCGCATGCGGTTGCACCATTGGTCCCGTGTCGCATGCCGACCTCTGCTCTGCATGACGCCCTTATTGGATCCTCGATGTACGCTGCCCTCAGCCACGTGTGGGCGTGCTACTGATATGCCGGGGAAGCATTTGTTGGAACTCTTTTTTGGTACAGGTCTCTGAAAGACATTTACTTTTCAACAAATTTACCCAGAGTCTGCCCTCCTCATTCAGAAATCTCCAGGCTAACTTACAATTTAGGGCTTTATTCATTAACTCCATACTTTTTAGACCTAGTCCTTAACAGCTCTAGATAGATAGATATCCAATTAGCCCACTTCAATTTCCTCCTTCCCTCTCCCTCATTATAGCAAAAATCTCTCTAAATTTTATCCATCTCTTCAACCATCCTTCTAGGAAACTTGATGATACTCATACTCATACAGTAGGTTGGAATTGCTTGCATAACCAATTGAGTCATCACCTTTTTGCCAGCGTAAGATAAGGAAGTTGCTTCCGGATTTTCTTTTCTTCCACAGCAGAGGCACCCCAAATTACTGAGTGCTTTGATTCAGCTCTGACATTTTAAGCTGTCTCCTAATCATCTTTGCTTCCAGATTTTTGGTAATTCACTTGAAGTCCAAAAATATTTTGGAACTAGTCAATCAGTTCCTTAAAATCCCAGGTTTCCTTTCTATTACCTTTCCCGAAAACAATAACATCATCCACAAATTAAAGATTAGAGATGGTTAGAGCCTGTCTATAGATTTTAATCCCCATCAACTTTTCCCTGCTCATTAGCCTTAACAATTAGTCTTGAGAAACCTTCCATTGCCAAAACAAATAAGTAGGGAGAAATAGGGTCCCCCTGCCTAATATCCCTGGAGATTTCAAAATGTCCCTGACCCATTAATTAGAACCGAAAACGTGACTGAAGAAATGGAAAACTAGATCATTTGACACCATTCCTTACAAAATCCCAAACTTTTAGCACCCACAACAAGTAATTTCATTCTAGAGAATCATAAGCCTTTGAGATATCTAATTTAATTGCCATCAACCAACCCCCAGATTTCTTTGTTTTCATATGGTGAATTAATTCCTGGATAACAATAATATTATCTTGAAACTGCCTACTCAGCACAAAAGCACCTGGAAAAGGAGATAAGTTTATGAACAAGGGTTTCAATCTATTCGCCATAATTTTATACAACACACTACAAAGGCTAATTGGCCTAAAGTGAGTTACGAAATTAGGATTCTTCACCTTTGGGATAAGAGTACTAAAAGTATGATTCACCCTCCCAACAAACTATTTATTCTTAAAAAATTCGGTAACAAAATTAAAAATATCATTTCCCATGATCTTCTAAAATTTCTAATAAACAAAAGATAGAATTCCATATAGTCTAGGGGATTTTAAAGATCCTAGGGACATAACAACATCTTGACTTCTCACAGGAAGGTAAAGCAATCAATGCTTCATTGTCTAAACCAGAAATGATTGGTTCAAAAAGTCCTGGAGAACCTTCAAAATCAGAATGTCTTTTTGATTGAATTTGATCCTCAAAAAAATTAACAAAAATCCTAGCTATATTATTTTGATCATCAAACCAGTTCCCTTGGTCATTCGGTTTCTGTCTCCTAAAATTAATAAAATTATGAAAAAATATATATTGTTTTGACGTCCCTCTCTAAACTTTTGGGACAAGACCCTCCTTTCAACTAGTGCTATGCATCTTCATTCTTCTTAGTATAAAAGATTTTTATTAAAAATAAAAAGAAATGAGATACTTCTTGCTCCTCATCCCCTTCCTTAATTACGCCCCCTTGTGTTTTCGGGAAGTTTACACCTCTTACATTCTGAACTATGCCTCACGCCTCTAGGTAGTAGAGCGCCTCGCATCATGCCTCTGCATTTTAAAACATGGGATTTTCTCCTCAGGTCAAGTGCTGACCCAGATTTCTATCATTTAATGTAGAAAAGAAAGAAACTTGTAAAGCCTCCGGTCTAGACGTATCAGTTGCTCTTCTTAATTGATTCAAGATCCTTTCCGCCTGCCCAAACCGTCACGCTAACAAAGCAACCAACTTTCAAGGGAATGTCAATGTCTATGACAACCTTCATAAGAAGATAATTCCCTAAAGCTTCAACAGCCCTACAACTCAGAAATGAAACCCAACCTGTTGACCTCTCTCCAAAGGGAGGTTATGGACCTGCATCCAAACCTCTGCCCTTGTAATTCTTGAACTTCTTGGGTCTCTCCCCTCCTGTCATTCAGCTAACATCAACCACCCCTCTTTTGGTACCGAAACCTGAATGAATAATAACCCCTTTGCAAAGGTTGGATGAGAAGGCTATTCTCATTCACTCCCCAACTACCATATTCCATATTGGTGATATCCTGTAAGGACAAAGTTGTTCTAGGAAATATTCTACCAATCATGCAAGGCCTCCAAATACTCCTAACTTCCTCTGAGAGATCAGAAGCAAAATAAATAAAAATAAAATAAAAAATCCAACCCCGGATTCTGATTCGTCCTCATCATTTGAGCAAAAGCTGAGTTAAAGTCCTGAACCCCACCATCTTCAGGAGCATTATCTCCCCCTGAAGCCATACATCCTTACACAACGAAAAAGCCAAGACACAAGCAAGCAAGAAAAAACAATAAGAACCCTACTCAGAGGGTAAAAGCCCCAGTAAAGGGTAGAAACAAAGAATAAAAAGCTAGAAACTTAACATAAATAAACTTGAACCAACGAACTTCACAACTAACACAAGACAAAGTCAGACAGGAAGGCATTTTACAAGCAGAAGCACAGCAGCAAAACAGCAGAGCCTACCAGCAGAGCAACTAAGAAGCCAGGCACACCACAAACCAACAAAAGAACTCACATACAAATAAAAAGATGGCATGCCTAACCTCTGGAAGTGCACATACAGCCAGCTAACACCAAGAGATAGTAAAAGCTAGTCTTAAAGACCAACATAACCATCTATAAAAGAAGAAACAGATCCCCACCTGTTAAGCTAAAAAACTAAGCAAGATAAGGAAAATCTTCCCTCATAAATAAGGTTAATCATACTCTCTCACTCCTGGCAAATGCCTATCAAGATGTAGAAGGTTCTTCAGGCCAGTTTCAGGTCTTACTACTGACCTGAGCTGACAGGATTTTAAGTATTTCTTATAGTAGAAAAATTGGCACTCTTACAAGATTTTAATCATTGTGAAGTTAGATGATACTAGAATTTTGGTTACATATTTAGAACATTTAGCACTGACCCTTTTATTTTTTTTCTTGTAATTTTGTATTCTGAATCTTGAAATATGTCGAGGAATATGGTCATCTGCAGTTTGGAGTTGAAACTTGTTAATATTTTGGTATCTTGTAGAGGACTCTTAGCATGGGTGTCAGTGATGCGACTTCA